GAACGCTTTCAGAGAGAAACTGGATCTCTGCAGAGATATATATCGCGAGGATTAACATAGGCAACAAGAGCCTTCTATCCTTATAATCTGAATCTGGGAGTACAGTTTTAGAGTATAACAGTTTTACTGGTCTTCCCCAAAGTTTAGGTCCTCTAATTCTTGTATTTCCTGGTTCAAACAGTTGACTCCCGAGTATCTTTGATGTAAGTATAGAACTTGGGCACTGTGGTAGAGTATAACTCCATTATAGATAAGATTTTATTTTGATAAATCACACAGTGTTGTACAGTAATATTAATTGATGATGTTTTGAGCATAAACTATTGCTCATAATCATATCTTATTAGACATCCCTCTATTGAAGCCATTTCTTGCAAGAGTTTACTTAGACTGCTATTATACACTGTGATAACCGAGATTCCACCCACTGACTGTGATGTGTGGGTAAATATACTTGACTGGGTCACATAAAATAACTGACGTGGTTCGTTTTCCATGTCGCAACATCTTTTCATCGCTTAAGCCACTCTGCAGGTAATACAGTGGCGTCTCCTTTTAGTGGCGTAAAACGTTATTTCTGTAGGAAACAGGTTCTATTTCACTTGGTTGTATTGTCTCATTTGGTTGATTTAGCTGCGAGTTCATTGTCCTTCTGGACATCTTCGGCGCAAGCTTTGGTGTGGAGTGTACTTACTCATATTCTCCTTAAATGATATGATCGTGTTGCCTGGAAACCTTTGCCGTGATTGGCTATTGATTTCGAACTTCAACTTATTCGCCATGTACATTATTCTTTATTAGTGGTGAAGAAAATAAAAGACAGATTCAGCGAAGAAAATTTTCTTTATCGACGAAATCATCTTCAGAGGCTGTACAATCGTATTTATACTTACAAAAATATATAGTGGTCTATTATTGAGTAATAGGGGGTGACATAATTGATATAATTACTCAGAAGTGGCTTTCCAAACGCATCTCTGAGCATTATCCGGCATGGTTAGCAAAGGGACAATGTAAGACAATTAATAGCTCAATTCTCGAACATTTGGTGAACTCAGGCCACGTAGCTCCACCAGAATCGTCTTTCAAGATCATCTACAAAGTGAAGCCAAATGGTACAAAGGGCGTCAGGTTTCGGCTTTTGTGTATGGCGGAGGCTCTAGCAATTCATCAATACAACCCTGAACTCTGTATACAGAAAACGTTTGTCCAGTCTCTTATTCTACCTTGATCTTAACCTCTTCACTAATCGTTCCTTGTAAATAAAAAATTTTTTCTTTTCATTCTAATTTCACTTTTAGTTAGCTTTTGCTTTAATAATTAATTCACTATTATCACTCTCATATGCTCCTTTTGTATGTTTTCACACCCTCTTCACACTTGTTAAATTGACACTCAAATACCTTTATTCTCACTTAATAGCAATTTTAACCTTATCAAATTTCTATCTTTTCGCCGTTGAGTACCACGTAATTTTCGACTTCTAATTTTCACTTCTAAAGCCACTTCTGAGTAATTATATCAATTATGTCACCCCCTATTACTCAATAATAGACCACTATATATTTTTGTAAGTATAAATACGATTGTACAGCCTCTGAAGATGATTTCGTCGATAAAGAAAATTTTCTTCGCTGAATCTGTCTTTTATTTTCTTTATTAGTGGACCAATTTGATTTATGGTAAGGTTAATTAGTCACTGATTCATATTAGTACCAGGTTTGTAGGAAATGCCTGACAAGTTTTCGGTTTCCCCTGTTGAAGTATTCTACTTCCAATACAATTTGTATCCATAATTGTATACCTGAATCGATATGATGGGAAACGTCCTTTCCACAGCTAGTTCGTGGGTTCTGAGTTGGCGGAGACACCCACTTTGGCCAGTGTGGTTTTTTATCACAGTTCAAGCGATTTATTTTTGCAGATAGTGTTGATATTGTCATCTTTTGCTGTTGGATTTTGGTCTGCACACTATTGAGTGGCGAGATTGTGTTGGTTTGTGCTCTGTGTCTACTTCGAATGGTTTCAGTATTCTAGCTGTTATTCCAGAGATATCCCTAATATATGTAGTAAGATAAGTTTTCTTGTGGTAATTGAGCCTGGTTTCTTGTTGGTACTTCGACTCAAGTCTCAACATTTTCTGGTAGTAGTGTATGGGTATTCCTTTTTTCATGAGGAAAGCCAGTTAATATTTGTCTTCTATTTTTCCTCTGTACTGGAATGCTACAGTGTGTCTTAACTCCGGTAGCCAATGTTAGTAGGCAGTTTCTTATGTGAGTCATTGGAATATTGCCGTTAAAGTTGGGCGTTTGATCTGTGTGTGTGTGTGTGTTTGTGTCAATTCAATGTATGCTTGTTTCTAGACTTCTCGTGTGGTTGTTCCATTGATTAAGGCATCTAAAAAGGGGATTTCGTTTCTTCTCTTGTGAACTCGATGTCTCCTAGTATGCTGTTTATTATGTGTTTATATGTCTTCCACTTTCAATAGCCATGTGTTTCTCTTAGTCATAAAGGAGGACGAAGCGAATTGCTAAGCATTACACACGTCCTTTGTTAGATAGCAGACCGGATATCCCGTCTACGCCAATTAGACTCAATTTTATATACAGAGGGAGGTAAATTTTGGACTGAATTCGATATACTGCTTGGTGTATGTAAATGGAAGGTTACTTGTACTCGTTACTTATTTACTATATGTTCTATGTAATAATGTCTTTTTCCATCTTCAATCTCTGTTGCTTCTCATATACACATTTTAACCTGTCGACACTTCTTGTTGTAAGAACATTTGTCACGGAGTTTCTTCCGTATAAATAAACAGCGTTTTTTAAAGCATCTATGAATCAAGTATAGGCAGTCTATGATTTTAAAATAATTATGATTTCTTTTCCATTTTTGTATTTTAGCACAAAAAGTCCACAAACAAACATATTGGTATCTAAACCAATGGAACGTAGACGTTCTACTAAAAGAGCTGCTCCAAGGAAATCTGAGCCTGCTCCCGAAGAAAGGTAGCCACTTTCAATGAAATAAAATAAATACCTTTTAGGTCTTTCGTTAACCCATCATCTATCAGCCCGCATCTCTTCTGTCCTATATGCCAGGAGGCATTTTCTAATCCTCAACGTGCACCATGCGGCCACTCATTTTGCAAAAGTGTAAGTGTTAAGTATCTAAATATCACTTTACCCAATAATGTATATTTGTTTATACAACGGCTGTATTTGGTTATTGGTAACTAGCAGTATAATCGAGGATGCACATTTTCTCCTGTATGGGACTCATCAACTAAGAGTGCTCGTAGTAGGTAACAACGTGCTTACAGAGACTGCACTTTTTAGAGCCTTGAGATCTAGTGCGTTTCGAGGGTATAGTATCAATAAATGTACGCGAATAACATTACAGGGTGACTAGGATAATTTGATACATTATATATACCTATCGGCAGAATAGTACTGACAGTAGTAGGGAAGCAAAAGGATGGGGAGGGGGTGACAGGGATAAAGGAGAATGATGATCAGGAGGACTTGGTGTGCTTATTATTCTTTTTCCCTCATTCACACTTCTGTTTGTTATCTCTCGTTTGAATTTCTCTTAACTGTCTTCTCTTGCCTTGTGTACTACATGGAGGAAGTGTGGCAACTCGAACTGCTGTACATCTGTGCCAAGTTCTCTGTTGAAACCAGTTAGTGAGTTATTTGTTCTATTAATCTGTAATTCAGTGGGATCGAAAAACTCAAGAGAAATCGAAGAGAATCGGGCTATTCATTACTCGTGTGAAGCACATTCACTTGTCCGCACACCGTAATAATAATAATAATAATAATAAATGCCAGTACATGGATGAAAACAAAAGAAATTCTTCATATTGATTTTTAATCCATAAAATGGAAATGTTCATTAAACACACAGGAATGTAGTAAATTTCCTAATATATATAGATTTCTTTGTACTGTATTGTTTTTACCGTCTTTGCTTTTAGTGTATCGACCCGTGGATTCGTGACTCGCCTACCTGTCCGGTTGATCGTTTGCCTATCCCAAAAGGATCAATGCATCATGATTTTATAGTTGAAAATATAATAGGCGATTATAAGGTAAGTTTTTGTACGTTTAGTGAGTACAGACAATGAGAGTATCGTTGGCATTGGTTTATACTCTCTTTTTCAAGTAATCATTTGCTGATACAATGTACAACTGTAGGAATTTATGAGGAAAAAGTAGAAGAAAATTCACTACCTAGGTGCACAAGTGTTTGTAGTCGCGTTACCTACTGATAAAGATGGCCACTGATGCCAACATTGTGATGTCATCGTTTCATTGGGAAATGTGCTAAATTTGATTTTTTTTTAGAATCCAGACTAAACCGATTATATGATGGAATTAACTGCATTCTATCTCCCGTGTGTGTTGGGTGGTATACTGAAGTGAGGAATATTGAGGTTAGGCTTCGTGTGTTTTTTGGCAACGAGGAAAAGTTATTCGATGAAGTTATGAAGGTATATCGGTTGAGGTAGTTAGAACTTGTATTACGCATGCGCCTAGCCATCGCATTCTTCGACGGGTAATGTTAGCTGACCTAGGTTGAATCAGGCAGGAAAAGAGCTAATGGTGGCCAAACTAAAACATGGCTTCATCGGTAAATCAAATCCGCAACAGTTAGTTTAAGCCAAACACGTATGGCGGTGTAGAATGCTTGGTTGGTGGGGGGTCCTTGGGATGGTAAGAACCAATGGTTGGAGGAGATTTTTAATATGGTTCAAAATCGTTCTCAGTGACAGCGCGGATAAATTCACTCTTTGTGATATATCATATCCATCGTCCTTCGTTATTACTGTTCTTTTTCCCTCACCCACACCAGTGTTTACTATCTCTCTTTTGAGCCTCTCTTCTCTTGCTTCGTGTGCTGCATGGAGGAGGGAGTGTGGGAACTCGAACTGCTGTACATCGGTGCCAAGTTCTATGTTGAATGCAGTCAGTCAGTTAATGTTTCATTTCACTGTTCATAATGATAATAATAATAATAATTTGCTTTATTCCAGAAACAGTACTAGTGGTACAGTGTGGAATTTTCAGCACATATCTACAATATTTGCATCTAATTTTACAGACATTTAAAATAAGTATTAAACAAACACCAACAGCCAAAAAACAGGATAAACACAAAATGTGAAAAAGTACCAAAGTCTAATGCAGTGTTTGTGGTGGTAGTGTTAGTAATCCTGAATAATACAAAATTTTTTAAGGTGGTGACTATGGCGTTCACAACCAATGATTGTCAGTTTAATATTGCCGAAAAGTATAGAAAAATAAGAAAAAACAGCCACAAAACTAATATTACATGATGGTTAATGACAGGACAATTTTGTAATACTCATAGTGCTAATAGAGTCGTAACCAGTGGATACACAATAGAAGGAATATAGTACAGTACAAAAAAGGAAGCCAATGTTAATATTTTAGGTAGCTAAGTATGTTTGAGAAGAAGTTCTCTAAAGAATACGAAATAAGAGAGAAATAAAAGAGCCTAAAATTATGTCGTTAATAACAGAGCAAGTCATAAGTTTCACTCTTAACATTGTCTCTGTCGCTTAGAACACGGGCGAAGTATGGTATCGTTGAGTTCCTGTACTTGGTTGTACGAGCATAGATTATTTTATACTGATTTCTGGTTTTACTTGATGAGATACAAGGCGAGAGTTGGGAATAGAGGGGGTGTAGGGGGTCGGAGAATATGGTTTTAGACCATTTTTCGCATGTATTCAGATGCCTATCAACTAAAGTAGTGACTAGCTGACTGAGTTTTACACCACTAGTCCTACTGACTACCTTCAACATCCTTCTCAGGATGGCATAGTCCTTTTTCAGTAGACCAGGAAAGACTAACGGGGAGCAGTAAAGTAGAATAGGTAAGATACAAGAGTTGACAAATTGTGAAATTAGAGGTTGGGTGATTCCAGATTGTCTAAGTTTCTTAATGTTGTAGGTAAGACAGAACACTTTATTAGAAATCGTTAGGATATGAGATGTCCAAGTAAGGTCGGAAGATAGAACTAGACCGAGGTATTTTGCACTAGACTTAGTTTCAATTGTAGTCCCCTCAATGCAACAGTTTTCATGAGAACTTACTAGTGTTTGTAGATCTCGTTTATGCCTAAGGGAGAAGTCAATAGTCTGGCATTTTGAGGGATTCAGCACGAGACCATTTAGTTTGGACCACTGACTGATGTCCGACAGGAAGCTATTTAATTTGAGACAGTCTGACTGAGACTTAATGGGAAACGATACAGACAGGTCATCTGCATATTTGACGAAGTTGATTTCATTTGAGAGAGGTAAATCATGTAAGAAGAAGGAAAAGAGAAACGGAGAATGAACAGCACCCTGAGGAACTCCAGCTTCAGTAAGCAAGGGAGAGGAAGACACACCATTATATACCGTGTACTGCATCCTATTAGAGAAGTAAGAGTGTAGCCAGTTGATGGCCCAGGGCTCAGTTTGTGTAAGGCTAAGCTTGTTTAACAATAGACCTCTAGGTACAGAGTCGAAAGCAGATGTATAGTCAAGGGACGTACAACGGACATACTTGGCCCCTTTGTCTAAGGAGGATACAATGTTGTGATGAAACACAGCAGCAGCGTCCAAAGTACTTCTACCCTGTTTGTAAGCAAACTGCTTTGGATCGTTTGAGAAACTCAGGGAGGGAACAAGTTTTAGTAACAATAGTTTCTCCATTAGTTTCAAAAAAGGAGAGGTAATAGCGATAGGTTTAAACTTAGCATTATTTCCAGAGCCTGACTTGGGTACAGGGATGATTTTAATATTTTTCCATAGAGAAGGTACAACATTATTAGAAAAAGAAGTATTAAAAATGTTTGTAAGTGGGTTGCCTAAAATATCAGCACATTTCCTTAGGACAATGGCAGGTATACCATCAGGACCTAGACTCTGGGAAGGTTTAAGAGATTTTAAACATTTAAGAACATCAGAAGTTTTAAAACTATTAAAGTCACTGGTCATGTTATTTGTTACATTGAAGCTGAAAGGTATATTGGGAAGGCGGATAAAAGATCTATTAAGAGTATTTACATCAATAGGGGGAGCACAAGAACTATGCTTACCACAACCTGTAATTTCTTTGAAAAGCTTCCACATGTACCCAGGAGTTTTACATGACAAAATTCTTTGATTATAAATATTGTTCAACCTCTTGATTTCGAATTAAATTTGGATGTTTATTCTCCTAAGACCAGCTTTATCCTTAGCCTTGTACAGTCTCTCTTTTTCTCTTCGAAGCTTTTTGAGATGAGGGGAAGAGAAACGGTCTATTCTTTTGAAAAGTATCTGTTTTGGACAGCACACATCAAGGCAGAATTTAGGATAGTCAGTCAAATTGGAAATAGTATCATCCAGTGTGTGTTCAGTGAAAAGTTACCAGTTTGTGTCATTTAACATACGTCTTAGTTTGAGCACGTTTCCTTGTGAGTAGCATCTTTGTTGTGTTTTTCTGGAGAGATTCGAGAGGATATTAGAGTGATATCTGCTATATATCTTGGGTAATATCCGAATAATACAATGATCAGAGTTCATTATAGGAGCACGTCTGCGTGTTGCATATATTTCCGCATCATTAGTAAATACTAGATCCAGCGTTTTATCAAGTCGAGTTGGAAATTTGACAATGTTGACACGACCTAATGATTCAAGAAAAGAACAGTCACAGGTATTGAAATCTCCAGTGACAACTGATAAAGAGTTATCAAGATGTGTAACCGCGAATGCTGTGAATTCATCGGCAAAATCAGATAGATCCGAATCCCATCTACACCTAGTGTATTACGTGTCGTCAATTGTTTGTTAGAAAATTCCTTGGCGTCCTGATTTGTGAACGCGGGCGGGGGGTTGTAAGCTTGAGGCTTTTATATTTTGAAGTAGCCGTATTCTTATTCTTTCTATTCATCTATTTAGTTTATTTTTATTTTCAGGTATCATGTCCTTGGCGTTCTCTAGGATGTGATTTTATCGGTCGATTGTGCATTTTACCCAGTCATAAAAAAACGTGTCCAATGAATCCTGAACTACTTCCTGCAGAATTACGTAATCGTCTTATGGTTGGTTTACAAAATACAACTACAAACAGAAATCAATCTTCAGACTTGAATTGTTATTCTTATAATGAAAAGCTATCGACAGCTCGACAGGAACCTACCCCTCCTGCAGTCATAAATATCAGCACAAATGATGACAGTAATGCAAGTCATGCATCAACTAGTCATGAGAATAGTGTATTGTCACAGAGTGTTGGTCCCACTCTATATGACACTAGAAATAATGAAAGTGTTGATGAAGATCACCTTTTGCCTGCTCCACCACCTAGCCTGTTGTTTCGATTATATCAGAATTCAGATGAGAATGGTCGCCGTCTATTACTTAACTTTCTACAAAGTGATCAACGTTCCATAATAAATACTGAATCTACTTCTACCAGTGCAGGTAATAAACGACGCCGTAGACAATGAAATCAATGTGATCCAATCCATTTACAATTCGAATGGCATTTGTGTATTCGTGGGTTTAACATTCATTGAGTGTAAATTTCAAATTGAAACTCTTCTCTGGGCAATTTCTCTTGATTTTGAATGTGCACGCATGCTGTAAATATACGTGTTGTTTGTAATATAATATATAATATATGTATTCAGGGAACATTTTAAATTTTGTTAACATTTAGAGGTTAAATCAAAGTTTTTATTCAGTGAATAAACTTGTAAATCCAATTTAAGATATGGTGTACTCAAAGAATTTCCCCTTAATTCAACGTCCAAATGTTTCATACCTAAATAGTAATTGATCACTTGGTGGTGGTGGTGGTCAAGATTTGTAAGTTTGGTATATCTTCTTGAACTGTTACAATATTAACAAAAATCAGTGTTCCCACAGTCGATGGTTCAGTGGGAGAATGGTCGTCAACTACGCTGGGCGTCCGTGGTTCGATTCTCGGCCGACGCACTCTTAAACCGAACTAAGCTGGTAGTAAGCCGGGTAAAGAGGGAGGGTAGGGCGTGAGGTTAGCAACCCCACCCCGTAAAAATGCAACAATTGCTATCGTAACTTTAAAGCTCTAGCTTCAAGCCATATGTTCCATTGGGAACGCAAAGGAGTAAAATTTAAAGAAACAATCGTGTCTACCCTGATCTTCTCAGGTGAACTGTCAGAAACAATTGTAAAGTTCGTTATCTGTGAGAAACACATGACATTTCCAATCGCTTTGCTGAAGTCGAGGGAACGTCGGCCAATGTGAATACTTTATAATACTGTCACTAAATTAGTATGGTCGTTAAAATTCGCGTTTACAACGCTTGGTTAGGTACACATGTAAAATCTGGTCTCTTCTGGCTGCAGATGTGCGATGAGTCTGTTTTTGATAGTCGCATAGAGCGACTTGCATCCAGTGGTACCCGTTTGGAAGAAGTAGCAATTGTCTTTCAGTAGCTGACGACATCTTAGGATTCCCGTGGCTTAGGCATGCTTGATGAATGTCACTTCTTTCATTTTTGCAGGGTCTCATTGAACTCCGATCGTTTTTTGTCCTACAATGTGTGTGCGCGTGTACCTGAATGGAATTTATGCATTTATCAATTTCTAAGTATGTCCGTTCTGCGTTTGAAGATGGAATCTTGGAGTGTTTCAGCATTATGTTGGCTCTTCAGCTCTATGGAGGGTAGAACTATGCAGTCATTTTTGAATAGAACACCAAAATGTCTGTTAATTGGAGGATTAGAGTCAAATACATCATTAAGGCTGTGACCTTGTCATATGTCTCCTTACCCGTTCAAGGATATGTGCTAACCACTTCGCAATCTGATGATATGGTGAGTTGACTCCATGTCTATAATATGTCGAAGTGAGACATCCTTCTTATGCACTTCAGGCAATCCATATTGTCTCGGCATAAACTGAATTGCATGGTTTTGTTTGTTCATACATCTATGTCATAATTGAATTTTCTTTCATTTTATTCAGTAATTTTGCAAGGAGGTTTTCTGTTCGTCTCGGTTGGGTGATTTGAAGAATTTGGTATTCGTCTGATAGTACGTTTGTTTGTTTCTCGACATTATCTGATTTGTTCAATGCAATTCCCCTAAATCAGGCCAGACAAGGATTATGTCTTTATTTTCTTGAAGTTGTTTTCTGCCTCTCTTCGTTATCAGATAATAATGACTGAGTCGTGCACGCATGTACTTGTAGTGGCTGTCGAAAATTGCAGCTTCAAATTGCTCGAGATGTTTTTCAGAATTAGGTGTGACAAATCAAATATCTGCAAAGTTCGATTCTCGAACTGAACTTTGGTCTGTAATTCGTTGATATTTCTCAATACATCGGAAAATTGTGGACCAAGTGATTGCACTTGGAGTTGGATAAGGCGTGAGAGATATAGTTGAACAATTGAAGACGTGTTTTCCAGGATTCTGCGGAAACTATGCGACACTGGTTCAGTGTGTGTCTATAATAGCGGGAAATGGCAGTGTGATGCAGTGTTTAATACTGCCGACGAGTAGAGTGCCTTGCGCTGATTAAGGTACTCTACTCGTACTCATGCAGCCAGGTGAGGGCTCACGGGGAGTTGTCATCTGAAGTGGTGACGACTAGTGGCGTCCGTCAAGGATGCCCATTATCCCCATTTCTATATAATTTCATCAATAATGTACTAATGGAATTAACCCTAACTGACTACAGCGACTTAGGGATTGACTTGTTACCATCAAGGAATAATCTCGTTGACTTAGAATATACAGATGACACATTCCTCTCAACTAGGTGAAGACGCTGACAAAATGCAGTCTTCTGAACACCTTGAGTAGCAATCTACGAATGTTTGGCATGCTATTCGCTCCCGCCAAATGTAAGACGATGCTACAGGACTGGACTGTATTGACGCCTAACTTCGAAATAGGCAGTGAACTGGTAGAGCGCGTTGACCATTTCACTGATTTCGGGAGTTACATCAGCCCCAACTGGTTGATCACTGACGAAATCTCAGCATGAAAACAGGAGTCTCGTTTCGCATATGCCAGTTTACGGCGTCTCTGGCGTAGATGTGATATCCGGCTATCGACCAAAGGGCGTGTGTACTGCTCAACAGTCCGCTCCGTCCTCCTTTATGGCTGTGAGACCTGGCCTTTGAGAGCAGAAGACATGAAAAGATTAGCTGTCTTCGATCATAGGTGTCTGCGTTCTATCTCCCGCGCGAAGTGGTATAATAAGGTGAGCAATATTGAGGTTAGGCGTCGAGTGCTAGGTAAGGCAGGGAAATCAATCGACGAGTCTGTGAAATTACTTCGACTGAGATGGTTAGGACATGTGCTACGTATGCCTAGTCATCGCCTTCCTCGACGGGCAATGTTAGCTGATATAGGGTCAGGCTGGAAAAGAGCTAGCGGCGGTCAAACGAAAACATGGCACCAATCAATGAAATCTACAACAGTTAGTCTAAGCCACGTAGGAAGATGTAGACTTCCTGGTTGGGGTCCTAGGGACAGAAAAAACCAATGGTTGGAAACTATTGGTGACATGGCTCAAAATCGTTCTCAGTG